TTTAAATTTCTTTGAAATATAGAAATGCCTGCGAAAAAAAAATAATTTAAAGAAAGAAATTCCGTTTCTTATCAAAAATAACTCAAAACTATTTTTACTTAGAAAATATGATGGCATGGAATAACACCTGTTGTCTTTTAGTTTCTTCTTAGGTATTTTTTTTTTAATTTCATGAATCACCCAAGCAAAAACATATCCATTCTAATAACTTGTCGCCGTCTACATTAGATAACTATTGACTATCTCCTCAAAACATTTATGTAACGCTAATGACCATTAATTACAAATTTGAACTTGACAATAGCCTCAACGTTTTAGGTTTTTTTAACGCTTTTACGCCTAAACAAAATTCACACTTCAGAATAAGTTTGCGTAAATAATCAAATATTTACTAATCACTTTTGCTTCTTTATGTAGAAACACAAACGAAGAACAAAAACAAATCTTTCCATATGTAAAGTAAGCACATGATTGATTAGTGATCGGCGTGTATCAATCAAATGCTAAATATTTCACTAACCGAAAAGAACACACCTTGAAATGTTAAGTATTCTGACGTTGTTGGTTTTCTACTTACCACAACTTTAAGCGTCGACAGGCCATCTCTTTCAATATATATAATAGTTCCGCCGCCTTGGGCCAATGCTATCTAGTTCAAGGAAAAAAATAAAGATAATTATAAAAAAGGAAATGTTTAGTAATAGTTTAGACATTGTTTTTAGGTGAAATTAAATTTCAATACTTCTACAAATGTTTAAGCTAGCAATAAAACCTACTTGGAAATTCTACATGTATATATTTCAATTTATATAGACTTAAATACGTGATGGAAACTAGGATTTATGACAAAGTAACTAAAAATTTCTTGTTCAACAGCCCTAACCCCTTTCGTTTGTATTAGTTCTACCCCACGGAATGTCATGTGAATTAGGATCACTACCAAATAGGACATCGTTATCTGTTTTCTTTCATTTCTTTAAATGTCGCTGCAGTTCCGCCGTTGATTGTGGTATCGGGGAGTTGAACAGAAGGTGGTAAGGGGTTGAATATGCACATTCGTTCAATTGCTATGCTCCATACCACACATGTTTACACATACTGAAAGAAGTTAGATCCATTATTACGTGTCCTGAAAACCCTACAAGAACAATTTGAATATTTCTATCCTAATCATATCCTTTTTTGAATTTGATGGAAAACTAGTTTTTCTCATTTTAGTGTGGTGTTTCTTCACATTACCTCTCCCTCCAGTTCCTCTGGTGTCACATCAAATGGGATATCTGATAGAATGTCATCATTTTCCAAAATCCCTTTCAGCTGCATTTCACTGGCATGTACCAGTGCCTCTAACTCCGATGTTTCAAAATCTTTTGAACGTCTTTCCAATTTACTTTTATTTTTCTTGCGATTAACGCCAATACCGCCATTTCGGATGCGACGTTCCCGTTGAAATTTACGCGCCAAGTTTATGGGTAAACGTTGACGTTTTGGTTTGGCTTTTATGGGACGTCGTTTTCCTTAAAGAGAATAAAATATGTTTAGAAATCATGCTTTCAAAAGTAATGGTAAGGGATGTAACAAACCTTTGGTTGTTTTGGCATTTCTGAAATAGTTCCCAGGCATCTTTAGTTTCAGGAATTTATTAATCTTTGGAAAAAGGGAAGACAAAAGGAAGAATGTAAAGCTTAGATCTAGTCCATGTGCCCTGTGATGAACGGTAAATTACTTACAACTACGTAAATCCTTGGATTGGCTGTTGTCTGGAACTACCATTCATTTGGATTACAAAGCCGGCGTTGTAAAAATCAATGGGGTGTCCTAATGGGGAGAAAGAGGACTGAAAACATAACTTATAAAACGCAGAATCAAAACAAAACAGATTAGGCACAATTAGTTCGAAAATCGCCCCGAAAGCAGCTGTTTAAACAAATTAGTATGTTCAGTGATATTTTCAATAGAAACATCATTCACAATAGCAAGAAGAGAGTTCAAAACAATTGCCTCATGTGTTTTTGTTAATAGTAGCCGTTACAATTACACCAGTTATATTTAAAATTAAATATTTCTAAATATCTCCGTATTCCATTGCACAATTATTCAAGGTAGACTATAGCAGCATATAAATTACACGTTTTTTTCATATTGTGGCTTGTATATACACAAACTTTTTGAATGTGCATGTGATGTTTTGAAAAATATAATAGTACGTTATCATTGTGCAGTATTTCATTAACCCAGTGAGTTTAAATTTCCAATTCCTTCAATATATGCCAAATAAATCCTCTTTTAGAGTTAATCCGGTACAAAGTTCTAATGTAAATGCCGTTTAAGGTTAGTTTAGGGGATGTGACCTTCCGATCCCCTGTGATCATCCAAGAAGAAAGATGGAGAAAGGGAATAGAGACGACAGAATCTAATAAAACCGACTTCAGTTTTTTTTTTAATGATGTTATAGATTAAATTATGGTCCATAGTTGAATTGAAGGTTAGATACGGTGTAAATTGAACAGTGGGTTTTAACTTCTCATATGTGCCGGCTGCAGGCCAGAACTGGACAGTGTACTACATTCGCATGTCATTGTTCCATTGCCTGGGTTACTGCTCCCGTGTGAACGCTGGTAATTCCTGCTCGATAAGCCTTTTGATCTAGGGGTTCTCTTTTGTACCGATGGACCTCTCTCTGTCTAGATCGTGTAGGTCTCTCCTTACATGTCTGGGTGGGGGCATTCTATCATGCGATACCACCCAAGCAGGTACTGAATCGACAACATGCTGTTGTGACGATGTACGGGTAAGACCATTGCCTCCTCATGAAAATGGTCCACTGGCGTCGCAGTTGGGGAGTGCTCCTTGGGGCTGCTCTTTGTCTAGTTTCGTGGATGTCGACTTTTGACGTAGTGCGTGCAACCAGACAAGAGTTCCCTAGGATAGGGTGGGCCTTACCTCGGTGTTATGAAACCAGTGTATAGTCGATGGTTTTAGCCCCCAACTTTTCCGAATGGAATTCTAGCATGTGTAGAGCGCAATCAACCCTGTCTTCGCCCTCTCCTTAGCATCCCTTTTCCATCGTAATTGACAGTCAAAGTTTGTATTTTGCTACGAGTCAGAGTTGAAGCTGCACCCTATCCAGTGCTGGTGGAACAAAGACGCCGAGCTTACGCTTCCTAGTGAACATTCCCAGTCTGTCATTCTTCCATTCACTTCAAGGCCTAAAGACATATAGATAAAAATGTATTTCGGGTTTTGGATACCATTTGGCCAAAGTTCTCATTCTGAGATCTTGTTTTTAGCCAAATTTTCTAATCTGATTGTCTATAATTGCGTATTTTTTCTCAGATGATAAAAAATCTCCGGGCACAACATTTACAACCATCCCGATCAGAGCCGAACATAACCATTTTTAAACGTTTTTAGTTAACGTTAATTTGTTCCCATAATATCAAAATTAGAAACTCACCATTTTACCACAGATTAAAATAAAACACGATTTTCGTTTTTTGGTTCCGCAGAGAGAGCTAAACGATTTATTATTTTGTAATAATTTATATTTTTCTGAAGACATTTCTGTAAGATTCTCGTTAGATGAATTCTTAGAAGTGAATTGCAATATGTATCATGGGTTTTGTGTGGATGTTTATTTATATATTTATGCAATATGTTATATATTAATATTTATTATTAATAATAATGTATATTTATTTATTTTCACTAATTTTTATATAAAAAACATATATTTTTTATAATAAGTTTTGAATGTTGTTTTATTAATGCCCATCATGATGTTTTGATTGATGGTTACTAGAACTGCAATTTGATTTAGAGTCGATTATGTATGTATGTGTTTATGTTTATGGGTGTTTGTGCCCAATAAGCTAAGACTACAGTTACTGTGAATAAAATCTAAATTTTAGACTAAATACAAATTTGTTTTAAATTATGTATTGGATAAATTTCATATTTACATTTTATAGAGAATAATAATGTGTTGTGCTATTTTGTTTTGGAGTAATTCTAAAAAAAAACTACGAAATTTGTTTATCTTGATATAAATATTGCTGGTTTCCCTATTTCATTTTTTGCAGATATTAAGGACAGCAAAATCATTGCCAAATGTGTGTTATTTTTATCATTTGGTCTAATGTCTTTTGGCATCCTTTGTGGGAAATTTATATTTTTGTTTTGCTAGAAATGGGATGTTTATTTGCCTCCTTGCTCCTGATTGGTTGAATACGTAAAGTATATCGTTATGTAAGCCATTTGAACCAATTACATCGTTGTATTCTTGGTCCTCCTTCCTTCTATGTTGGCCATTTACAATAACAACAAATGTCCATAGAAACCTTTTTGAGAGTAAAGAGTAGCTGTTTGTTTAGTTAACAGCAAATGTAGTATACTTTTAGGCGTACGAGTTTCATTCATTCCTTCATTCGCTCTCTTCAATGATGTGGTATTTTTACTCGCTGTGTCTCGCTCACACTACCACTTGCTCTTGTGCGTGTGTGAACATTGCATTTCCGCTTTATTGCTGTTTGTAGTAGTATTCTTGCTGCTGCTGCTGTTGGTGGTGGTTTGAGCTTTATTTCTTCCATATACCTCTACCATTGGTTGGTCAGGCCAATGAGTGAGAGGTTTACCATTGTATATAAGATTCGCATATGCTATGTTTTTATTTATTGCATAGCATATAGAAATCAAATTGCAATGCTTAAAGAAATAAAAAATCACAAATTTGATGTTGGTTTGGTATTTAAAAATTAGATTTCCATTGGTTTGTTATCTGGAAGAAGAGATAGAGAAGAAACATATTAATATACTTTAAATGAAGTGACTTTTTAATTAAATTTTTTCATATGGATTTTGCTCCAAATTGACAGATAAAAATACATATATTTCTAAAGTACGAATATGGGCTCCTTTTTATGAAAAAAAAAATAAATTTCGAGTTGATTATTTTAATTTTTTCTGGGTAATTTAAAATAAATGCAAAATGTAATAACACTTTTTCCCTTTTCCATAGGAATGAATTAATACCTGTCCAAGCTTCGTTTTAATATTCCGCAGTAATTATGCTGTTCAAGGTTTTAGGAATATTGATTCTGTAGTTTAACTTATCTATACTAATAAAGGAGAAAAGCGATTCATAAACGCTCAGACGGCTGAATCTTGAAATTTTGGGTGAGGGTTGCTATTGGTCCAAAGGTGACAGATAAGGAGTTTTTTCTAGAACAGCACGAAAAGTACTAAATGTGGTACCACTTGTATTTGGCGAACCGCTAGAGTTAGAACTCTTAAATTTTGAATGAGAGTCACTGATGGTGTATGGAATAGTTGTAGCAATAGGTTTTTTTTTTTGGAAATTCGAACTAAAGGCACATATCTGAAAAGTACTAAAATATACTAAAGTTGGTACAATTTCGCAGCATGTGAATGGATATAGCTAAAAACTTGAAATTTGGAATGCGAATTAAAGTTGAGAAGTAGGGTCGATATTAGGAAGGGTGGTTTTGGAAGCATGTACCCGTGTATACGAACAGTATATATAGTACTATATATGATACAATTTGTAGAAACGGATGGAGTTGGAATAGAATACCGATATGTAGATAGTTTTTGGAAATTTGTACTTATGTGTAAGAAAAGTACTAAATTGTACTATATTTGGTAGAGTTTGGATTTTGTGTGAATCGATAGAGTTGGAATCTTGAAATTTTAAGTTAGAATCATTATTGGTGTATAGGATTGGGGTGTGTAGAAAGTTTTGGAAATGTGTGATAATGTGCACTAAATAGTACCATATATGGATTTGGGTCAACCGATAGAACTGGGAGTTTAAAATTTGAAGTTGGAATCACTGTTTGGGTGTAGAAATCAGCTATGTAGGATGTTTTGAAAATGCATGCTATTGTGTACAATTTAGATTTTGGGTTAATGGAATCTTGAAATTTTAGGATAATTTTTGGGGTGTTGGATGGGGATATGTTTGATATTTTGAAAATTCGTACTAATGTGTACTGTATGGTACCAAATTTGGAGTTGGGTGAATCGATACAGCTGGAGATCTGAAATTTGGAAATAAGGTTACTGTTGGAGTGTAGGATTGGGGGTCGGTTTTCAGTTATGCAATTTAAAGAACTCAGCCGGATTTTATAATTCAAGTGTAATCGAACTTCTCCAAATGTTGTTGTTTCGGTTTTTACCGTGTTCTCGATAATTGAATTTGATTTGTACCATAAGTTGTGCATATCGATAGCCTTTTGCTAATGGTTTTCCAAAATTTGGCTTATCCCACATTTGAACGTTTCAGTCCTTTTTGTGTACATTGAAGGTTCTATCCAACATAAATTGCTTTCATTTGATATTTCGAATTTCAGAGGATTCTAGGTTAGACGATTAGGTTCCTAGCCGTTTTCTTGGACATAAGTTGGTGCAATAAAGTTTTTTTATATCTACGTTTTTTCAAATTTTTAATATAGAACCTTTTTTAATATTTTAATATAGAACCTTTTAATATATAACTTATCACGCCATCGAACAGGGCGCACTATTTTCGGGGTTGACTAATGCGAAAGCTTCCACTGGGGTTATTGTGCTTTGGTTTACAAGTCATATACCCAAACCGATTA